ATGTGTTTTCGGGAAAGGACTGTGAATGTCTAAACTGCAGTTGTGGGTGCGATTCAGTCAGTGTTGTCTTTCTTTTTAGTGTACCGTAGCATGCCAGCTGGTTGTAATGATGGAATTAGATGTTGAAGTTGTGAATCCGCAGGGGATTGGTGGGTGATGAGGGAAATGTTTACCGGATGCAGACACTAGTCTTTATCAAGCCCATTAAAGGCTTTCTGCCCACCAAGACAAAATGCTTCTTTCCCATCATCAAACTTAATCCAACTCGAAGATCTGTTTTACATTTGCAACCCTGTAATGGCTCATGATAATAAAGCCAAGCATAAATCAACTTTCTTGCTTTATAAATTGTGAAAATCCTCTAGAGCTTGTAATGCAGATGAACCTATTTTGCCTGAAGCAAAATTAATACATCTGTTTATTGAACTAATTGAGTTCATAGTGATATGCTGTGTACTCTGAACTGTATATTTTTGATTTAAAAAAAAAAAAGGCCAAATCAGATGGCTATAATTAGAAAATTCTGTCATCGTTTACTCGCCCTCGTGTTGTTCCAAACCCATAAGAAATGAATTCATCGTCGGAACACAAATAAAGATAGATTGAATCAAATTTGAGAGATTTCAGTCCCTCCATTGAAAGTCTATTTACCCAAAACTCTGATGCTTCAAAACATTCGTAAAGAGATCAAAAATTAAATCCACATGAATTGAGCAGTTCAATCCAAGTTTTCTGAAGAGGCATGATCGCTTTATATGCTGAACAGATTTAATTTAGGCTTTGATCATTGATCAGCAAACATAAACAGAAGCGCATCCATATTTGCTTGACACGTGAGAACAAACCTCATAGGTTTGTCACAGAAGCTCAATTAGTTCTCAAAGGTTCACAGGTTCGGCACAAAAATTCAGTCTGATTTTTACAATGCAATTTGTCTGTTTAGACCAAATGCTTAAAAAAACTGCAGACTGGCTTAACAAACATGCAGATTCCTCCCCTGACAGTAGGTGGCACTTAAAGAAAAGCAGAAATGCAGCATTTACTCCAAATACTACAGTACACAAAGCAGTGCAGCACAACAGTATTTAGCTACATGTTTTCAAACAACTACATGTTTAGATATTTGTATTCGCTATAGGGTTTATCAGATAACGGCTAATACAAGAGTACAGAGACAAGAAAGCCGGGTCTGGATTTGTCCTCTGCTGTTCATTGTTGCATAAAAAAATACTCAGTTCGTAAGTTATAGTTTTATGTAACGGCAGTAGCTCTGGGCAAGGTAAAGAGATCAAAACATGTTTCTGTAAAAAAATGAAAATGTCAATCTGAACAAACGAAATAACAGCCGATCATTCAAATTAAAGTGTTTATCGCATCGAATATTCATCTTTGCGTGAACAGGCATTCAGGGGTCAATTCCAAACCAAACAGCTTTATGTTGGTAAATGCGGTAAATGTACTTGTTAATAGTTCATCAAACTTGAATCAAATGAAGTTGTTCGCTCACATGAAATTCCTAATCACATGGATTCCTGTTCAGATGGCTTCATTTTGCCCACAGAATTTCGCCATATCTGCATAAATGTCAACCGCAGCTGTAGGGATGTCAAAGGTTCTTCGGTGCCAAATCAATAATAAAATAAGATGTAACTATAGCAGACTTTAATAGAGCTAGTATGTAGTACGGGCTCTCCTATCAACAACTTGTCCTGTGTCTGGCTTCTTTCAAATATGAAGCACATATTTCCAGTGAAACATCACCATTTTTGATACACTATCAAAGCCGTACAGATATTCACTAGGGATGCGCCGATCCGATATTCATATCGGGTATCGGCTCCGATAGTGCCATTTTTCTCGGATCAAGTATCGGTCAGAGAGAGCCGATCCAAATCCGAGTTTTTTTTCGGTTTGTTTGTTTGTTTTTTTCCCTCGATTGTGCGAATTATTCTGTGTTACTTCTGAAGCCATATGATAGCTTAATGTGAGCTACATGAATATTTAATTCCTTACATTAAAGTTCACACAAACTCTTTTCTCCGCTGTGGCTGTCAGTCATTCGTTCAGCCTTTAAACCCTGGTCGCGTTCGGTTACAGCAGTCAGCTCGGTAAAGCTCTCTCCAAGATCATTCTGTGTTCCCATTATACTTGATTTGTAAATACATGTCTATGATTTTGCAAAAAGGACTTTATCTTCTTGCCGGAGTTTAATGTTTTGTTACTTGCTACCGGGTGTCTGTGAGAACAAAACACTATAAATAGAAGAAAAGTCCTATCGTATCTATCATATGTTTTTTATGCCTTATTAAAAAATATGCTATACATTTAAAATAAATGTATTTTAATTTGATAGTATATACTTATATATAAATACATTCATGAATGTTTTTAATGAATGGATTTTATAATGATACAAATAGCAATGTGTAACATTTGACCATATTTAGTGCAACACTTTTATTTGTTCCCCACAAAATAGTTTTTTCACTAAATACTTTGGATTTCTAAAATAATTTTGCACTGATTTTTCTAGAATAACTTTTGCTGTCGAATTATCCACTAACCTAGTTTATGAATTTTTTTTGTCATAGATTATAAATATACATAGGCCTATATTTTTTCATATTTGTTTATTTAATTTTTCTTTATAATGAAATAGTCTGTATCTAGTAGATTGTGAAAGAATGATTATCAGTTCCACACACAGAGATATATAAATTCTACATTTATTTAAATGAGGGGAAAAAACTTCACTGGTATCGGATCGGTATCGGCCAATACCGAACCCTAGGTATCGGAATCGGTATCGGAGGCAAAAAAGGCGGCTCGGAGCATCCCTAATATTCACAACAATGGTATTTCTGCTGGTGTCATTAGTTTTTACCGTGGTTTCCAAATCGGTATTGAGAATTGAGACATTCCACTGGTATTTCTGAAATTATTTTGTACTGTAATCTCAATAACAGACCAGCTTTTGTCACTGTAGCTAAATCTGTCAAACTGGGAGAGGTGCTGAGCTGTTATCATTCTGACTGTACGTGGTGTAAAGGACAGGATTTCCGTAGTTCTTCCATGCCCAGGATGTTTTCTTGGTGGATTCTCCGCAATCCACTGCCTGTTTTCCAGGGCGTAGTGTGAATTCTTCCCCTATGCGAACCCTGGTTCAGTGATGCATTTGAAATTCCCTTACAGCTTCTCTAGACCTGCTCTTGGAAATTCATAGACAGCACGGCACCAGTTTGAGTATCAGCGCCAGCAGGCGCACTCATCACTATAGAGCTCTGGACGCCATTGTGCTTGACAGATATCAAAATCATGCAAATGTTTTATGTCACTCCAGATGAGAACTCTACTACCAGATGTAAGCTCAACCAGTGACGAGTCTGTTTAACTGATTAAGTGCCTCCCTTGTTTTCCTCCTCGATAAAGGAATCCTACACTTTAAGACGGCCAAAATGCATGCCAGCGTGGGCATAAACAAAACTCCCAGTCAGGCTGAAATGCAGTGAGATCTTAAAATGCGAGCTTTTCTGGGTCAATTCAGTTCATGTGTTTACATTTGATGCCATCTTTCATTGTAGTATGTACTCAGAAGGACATAAGCGAAAGCATATCACATCACGTGAAATGGACATCAGGAGTCAGAAACTTACTGAAGTTGGCATTTCCCAGCCACAGAAAGTGCATTAATGTTGCCAAAAAATAGAATCAAATGGAATTAATATTATCAGCGGAGATTAGTAATAGTGTTATTTCTTCAGTTTCAATCAAGTTAGGTATTTAACAGTGGAGTCTTGTTGAAAATAATTACCGGCTTATCAGTATTGCCTATTGAACAGTGTTGCTTTTTGTATAATTGGGTGTTTTATGTTATCTGAGGTCAGCCCTTTCCTGAGGCCGTGGGAATGATGAAGTCTTGTGCTCCGTCTCTCGGCTGTCTTGGCGCTTGGTTGAGTCTGTGTGATGCAGTTCTGATCAAGTGACTCGAGTGATACAGACACTGTGAGGAGTGCATATGGTTTGTGTACAGCCTTCACACTCTTCCAGGTGGTGGAAAGCACTTTATAATGCAAAAAGTAACATGCTACTTTGCATAAGTAATGATGCTACTTTATTGGTTGCATCAAGCAATACAGTAATTCAGTCCCTAAATCTGCAAATGAATAAGTAGAACTTACCTGTTCCTTTAAACGCATGCTCATCATTCTTATATGAATGTCTTCTGCCAAGTCTGGGCTATTGCAGCCCTAAACATAGACTGTGACTTACTTGATATAGGCCTGAGTTTACACTGTTAAAGCATGAATAACATACCATAATTGTTCAGACTAACACTAAAAACTTGTGCCTTCGTGTTTTGTTGATTGTGGATGAAGCCCTGCTTGGTGCACTGTAAGTAACAAGAAGCTTTATACATATTAATTGTTTTAACAGTTAATTTTGGGAATGCAGTTAATGCATTCATTCACTAAAATAACTTAATCATTAATTGAATAAGCAAATGCATATGACATAAAAATGATCCATGGCAGAAATCCAGTTGCTTAATGATTATTTTTAGTGCATCTTCTAGTCCTAACACGTTAAACCTTGTGTATGGTCTTAACTGGATTGTGTGACTGAGCCCCACAGGTTAACGCACAGTCTCTTACTGGTTAATCTCTGGTTAATCTGTTTGGGTGGCCATGTGTGTAATCTGACTGTAAAGTGGCTATAAGGATTTAGCTGGCTGTGAAGACAGAACCTGAATGAAAAGTAAGGCATCGTAGTTTACTGCCACTTAAACTACTGTCATCCTAAAATTCTAAAGGTATGGTGGTGTGATATTATTATTTTGTTCATATCAGTACCTGGCCGAGGCAACAATGTGCATTCAGCACATTTCAGCTGTTCAGCCAGTGAAATGCATTTTAAATCGATGTAAATGTCAGTCTTGAAATGCTTTTTTCTTGCCTGAACGTGTGCTTGAGTACAGTGGCACAGGCACAGCCTCAGGGACTATGTGTCTGACCGGTGCAGCGTGTTTTCCTGCAGAAAACAAGCTCTGAACTTTATACTCAACGGCTGTGTTGTCTCTGGTGTGCCAGGTTATAGTTTAGTCCATAGCTAAACACCCAGGCCTTAATTAAGGGTCTTTTTTCCCCTCCATTCCTGATAAAGAGCAGATCCTGCAAAACACCCTTCAGGTTTTTGTGGGTTGATTGTGACTCTCACGTCATTGATGTTGTTGCATTTGATTCCAGGAGCTCTAACTGTGGGGCTGGTGCGCCAATGTCAGACCATTCACGGACGAGATCGAACCTGCATCCCCCCGCGACTCCCCCCGGAGTGGGTCACCACGCTCTTCTTTATCATCATGGGCATCATCTCCCTCACGGTCACCTGCGGCCTGCTGGTGGCCTCGCACTGGCGTCGAGAAGCCACGAAGTACGCAAGGTGGATCGCCTTCACAGGAAGTGAGTGACGCATCTCATGTTTGAATCCCCCCCCCCCCCCCCCCCCCCTTTTTCCCT